CTGATCCGCAGTTTTGTGACAACAGTCCTGTACATGTCGCTATTTCCATTGCAAGCTGGCCCTCAAGAAATAACACGTAGACGTGTCTGTTATATTCCATATGAATAATGTATTATGAATAAATTTCAGCATCTTCAAATGCTATCATTTTACTGTGAGTTGTGAAACTCTGCCGCGCGGCGCACTTCTCAGTTCTGTCAGACTTGTCACACTGTCGTCTGAACCTCACGACTAGAACCCGATTTACACTTCTTAACACACCTTTCCAAATGTCTCGTCACTTATCGTGTCAATATTTTACAACCTTGTGGGCTCATGCCCTGAAATATACGTGTAAAATGACTACTCATGGCAATTACTAATAAATAACCTTGAACTGTTTCATGGTTTCATGGATGAATGAATGAAGACCTCTATTTTACATATATATCCGCTGGGTTAATTAATTAAGTCACAACAAAGGGATGACCTGTATACTAGTATACATGTATATATACATACATACAATCAAGCTAACACTGGGAACTTGGCTTCTCCTCGCTCCTCTGTGATGGTAAAAGGTAAGAAGACATGTTTTAGGATCAGAGGTTTATATAAGCCCGTTAGAAATATGTATATGAGGTAGGTCAGTCTATAAAATTCAACTCTATCATTGGTGTCCTATATTCTACTACAAAATCATGGTGTTCATATTTTATTCTATCTAGATGACAGTGTTGACTGCTGTTCGGGGGAGTGCGGTTATGTATTCCTGTTTCAGTGTGTAGTTTTTGAAGCTCATCCGCAGTTTTGTTACAGCAGTACTGTACGTGTCGCTATTTTCATTGCAAGCTGGCCCTCAAGAAATAACACGTAGACGTGTCTGTTATATTCCATATGAATAATGTATTATGAATAAATTTCAGCATCTTCAAATGCTAGCATTTTACTGTGCGTTGTGAAACTCTGCCGCGCGCCGCACTTCTCAGTTCTGTCAGACTTGTCACACTGTCGTCTGAACCTCACGACTAGAACCCGATTTACACTTCTTAACACACCTTTCCAAATGTCTCATCACTTATGGTGTCAATATCTAAAAACCACGTGGGCTCATGCCCTGAAATATTACTGTAAATAAAAAACAATAACAACACAAGGAAATTAGATAACCCAGAAATGCATGCTTACAGATACTCGTATTGTCTGTAATTGTCATTTCTAGAAATCACTCACTCTTGAAATATAGTATAGAAACATAAAAAGTCTTATTGATAGTTTCGTTGCCATCTGTGCAGGGCCATAACATTTCTACAAATACAACGTTATGTGGTCTTTGTACAAATATTGTCTATTACAACTGCTTGCTGACTAGGATGCTTTTCTTGAAAGGATTATGAACGGAATAGTATATTTCCAAAGCAAGGTGGGTCTCGTATCACGAAACTCACGTTACTTTGTATTTATCAGACGACATAAACAGACAGGCAGATACGAAACGATCATATGTGTTTGTCACAAGTTATACATGATTTAGCATGGATTATTTCTAGTGTCTTCAAAGGTTTCTTGTCGGAATGATGACGACTTGTGAAACGGCGGCTTCTCAGTTGTGTCAGACTTGTGCCACTGTCGTCTGAACCTCACGACTAGGTGTGGTCACACGACTGACGTGTCCACTCAACACACATTTCCTAATGTCTCCTCAGTTCTCCTGTCAAAACTTTAACACCTGGCGAGTTCATATCCTTTAAAATCTGTTTTTGGAAGAGTTAGAAAATGTGCTTACTGAGCAATGGGGAAATGGGGGTTCAAATTTGAAAATACCTCAAACCGTTGGGTAAAAAAACATTGGCACTGACTAGTCGACTGACTAGGGCTCTGTTATTGAAAACAACATGATTCTAAAAGCGTCGTTTTATCACAACCCACCATTCTGTAATCGCCTACAAAATGATATAACTCCAATTAAGATCTAAAATATTTGCATGTTAGGTCGTGCAAATTGATCCAAAACAAACCATTCGAATAACAAACTGACGAGGATGAAAACAATTTGTCAGATTTTATTTCCAAAGCAAGGTGGCACTCCATGAAAATTATGTTTGTAATTTGTCAGACGACAAAGACAGACGGACATATATGAAACGATCAGCTGTGCCTGTCACAAGTTATAAATAATTTAATGTGTATTATTTCAGTGTCTTCAAAGGTTTCTTGTCGGAATAATGACGTCTTGTGAAACTCTGCCGCGCGGCGCACTTCTCAGTTCTGTCAGACTTGTCACACTGTCGTCTGAACCTCACGACTAGAACCCGATTTACACTTCTTAACACACCTTTTCAAATGTCCCGTCACTTATCGTGTCAATATCTGAAAACCATGTGGGCTCATGCCCTGAAATATTACTGTAAATGAAAAACAATAACCACACAAGGAAATTAGATAACCCAGAACTGCATGCTTACAGATACTCGTATTGTCTGTAAGTGTAATTTCTAGAAATCACTCACTCTAGCTTGAAATATAGTATAGAAACATAAAAAGTCTTATTGATAGTTTCGTTGCCATCTGTGCAGGGCCATAACATTTCTACAAATACAACGTTATGTGGTCTTTCTACAAATATTATCTATTACAACTGCTTGCTGACTAGGATGCTTTTTTTTAAAGGAATATGAACGGAATAGTATATTTCCAAAGCAAGGTGGCTCTCGTATGAAACACACGTTACTTTGTATTTATCAGACGACATAAACAGACAGGCAGATACGAAACGATCATATGTGTTTTTCACAAGTTCTACATAATTTAATATGTATTATTTCTAGTGTCTTCAAAGGTTTCTTGTCGGAATGATGACGACTTGTGAAACGGCGGCTCCTCAGTTGTGTCAGACTTGTGCCACTGTCGTCTGAACCTCACGACTAGGTGTGGTCACACGACTGACGTGTCCACTCAACACACCTTTCCTAATGTCTCCTCAGTTCTCCTGTCAAAACTTTAACACCTGGCTATAGCGAACTCATGCCCTCTAAATCTGTCCTTGGTATGAAAGAGTTACTAGTATAAGACATACTTGACTGAGCAAGGAGAGTTTTAAAATTTCTCAGATCGTTTGGGTAAAAAGAAAACATTGACACTGACTTGTGGACTGACTCTCAGTCTGGCTTTGTTATTGGAAACAATGTGATTCTAAAGGCGCCGTGTTATCAAAGCCCACCATTCAATATACTAGTAATATTTACTCGCCTTTGAAAATATATATATTTGGATGATCTAAGCATGTAAGGTTGCTCAAATTGACCCGAAACCAACAAGCAGACTGGCCAACTGAACAAAAGAACAATTCGTTAGTTTATTTCCAAAGAAAGGCGGCCCACTATGAAAATTAATGTCTTTTAAACCTCCTGGGTATTTGTCAGACGACAGAAATAGACGGACAGATACGAAATGATCAGCTGTTTCTGTCACAAGTTATACATAATTTAGTACGGATTATTCCCAGTGTCTTCAAAGGTTTCTTGGCGGAGTGGCAATTCTGTACGTCACTTGTGAAACGTGTGTCACTTGGTGGTGGCGTTCTTCTCAGTTATGCCAGAATTTACACATTGTTTAATCTGAGGAACTTTGGCATGTCGGCTGGCTGTCGTAAGACGGTTGGGTTTATGTTGTGCGCAGACATACTTCAACCATGGAGGTTAAAAACCAAATTGTAAACCTCCTTGCTTCAACGCAACCTCTTACTAGCCTTCTACAGACCTGTCCGGCAAGGAGATTAGCTTTAATTTTTTTTTTGGTGAAAAACTCCCTCCTAGCAAAACTTTCAACGAGGCATAACTCGTGTCGCTTCCCGGAAGAACTAACGCAGTTGAGGGACAAGTCTGCGAAGGAGGCTAACTTTACGATACACACACGACCATATCTATACACTAGCCTGCCTGACTGAATCGCTCTCCTGGCGGCAGCCGCCCAAAGCTTGGGGTCATTGACCTCCGGCTGAGAGAGCTTGTAGCATAGGCTTAAGTCCATAAACAATGGAAACATATCTAGATGTAGCTAGGATTGTTTAGTGACCGTGTGATGGGCAATATTATATATGCACAAAACTTGAGATCATGTTACACATCAGAACATAACCCTCTCCCCAACTTCTATACCGATTGTATCGAATTTAGGTGAAATTTGACTGCCAACGAGGCCAGTACTGGCCTACTCCCAACTACCGGCCAACCAGTCCCCAACCATAGCCTTACAGTTATGCTCCCGAATGTTTTTAACATTTAACTGGCGCAACCGAACAGTAGCCAACTTTGTCTAGCCTCTACCAGGCACCGCGAATCGCTGGAAAAATAGTAGAAATTGGCCGAAATAATGGAATAGTATACCAGAGAAGATCCCGGGCCATAGGATTATTCGCGAATTGGATCTTCTCTGGCCGGCTAACTTCCCTGGTATACTATTCCTTTATTTCGGCCAATTTCTACTATTTTTCCAACGATCCGCGGTGCCTGGTAGAGGCTAAACTTGAACACCAGCCAACCACAACCCTTACATTGCTCCAGACCGACTCCCAACTATGATTGGGTGAAATTTGACAGGCAAAATTCAGATATGCGCGACAGGGGCTAACAGTAATAGATAATCAGCCGAATTCCTCTTGCTCAACTCATGGAGGTAGAAAAAGTTTCTTTTTTTACCTCCATGCTCAACCTAAGTCCTTGTTTTTGGCTAGGATCTCCCTACTACTAACTAGTATTAAAGACAAGTCTTTATTTACTGGTTTTTAACTCATGGAGGTAGAAAAAGTTTCTTTTTTTACCTCCATGCTCAACCTAAGTCCTTGTTTTTGGCTAGGATCTCCCTACTACTAACTAGTATTAAAGACAAGTCTTTATTTACTGGTTTCTTAATTTGTCTTTTGCGTCTATTTCGCCCCTTATTCTTACAGTTAAAACCATATACATGTACTTGTGCCTTTCGTTTAGGGATATCGTTGCAAAATAAAGACACAACCACAGAAATCTTTTCTCACCACAATAACATATATTATCATCATCCAAGCAAAGATACAACAAACTTGTACAAAAATAAATATAAATCTCGCAAAGTACATGGTCAAAAGAAACAACACAACAATCCCTGTACAATGCGATGCCTCTCTTGCGTATACAATAGTCAACAAAGGTAAACAACAACATAAATAAACAAACATAAACACTACTAGTATTCTATTCTCTGTTGTGCATACATATCCTTCACCTGAGTAATTCTTTCAGTGCAAAGAAAGTCATAAAAAGAACAAAAAAAAACAAAAACAAACAAAAGAATCGCTCAAAAAGCGTTCATAGTCATACACACAATACATATCTCCAATATCTTTCTTTTCAATATATACAGAAGTCTTGTCGAACGATACACAGCAATATAACAGTTATACAGGCACACATTGTTTACAGGTATATCTACCCACTCACACAGCAACATAATTTACGAGGTAGCTTTTCAACTATCAGACACGATAATTGTCGAACCCGTAGCTTTCTTTCTCAGGGGGTCTCGCCTAAGTGGTCAAAACACAAAAAGCCTTGAGGCTTTTGAAAGAAGTAAATATGTACACTTTTCTTGTCAGAGATCTTAAGTACATGTCAAAGAAACGCTTAAATACACATATTTTCTCTTCGTATGTTTCTGGAGTTATGAAGTGTCATCTATTCATCCACAGACTAAATAAAACGTTTATAGTTTGTTTGACAAACGGTGGAACATGTCTGGTGTTTTTATAGATATCCTCTTTGACACGTTGATTGAAAACGCTTGTCGTTTGACCCGGATAATAACACCATGTCATAGCTTTTAGTATTTCTCTCTTCTTTAGAGGTCGTCGCATAATTATACTGAAGCCATCTTTTCGCATGGATTTGGCGGGCGTCTAGGTTATCATTTGTGAAGTATAACTTTCAATTTAGATGGTACGGAGTCAAGAAACTTGTTTCACATAATTTTCGGTCAGAAACAATGGATAATTTCAGCATATTTTGAGCTTATGTTGTGTACAGGACCAAAGCTACACCTACAGTCATATAGTGGTTTTATATCTAGTTTGGGGGAATGAATGTCTCTATGCTGCGAACTTGCCCGCATGTCCAGGGTAGGCTGCAGGCATGGGGTGGGTGTTGAACATCCCGTGGAAGTTGACCGGCATGGTGGTGGCAGAAGACGTCGGGAAGTGGCTGAGGTGCGGCGCGGGCGCCACGCTCATCTGCATCCGCGAGAACCCCGCCATCTTACACGTCGTGGCGTAGTCCAGAGGTTCGTAAGCTGTCGGGGCCGCGAAGAGACCTGTCGGGTAGACGTCGTACGATCTCTGGGGAGGGGTGCCGCCGCTGGCGTACAGGGGGGCGTTGGAGACGGGCAGGCCGGTGTGGAAGGAGCTGACGGCGGGGTAGGACGGCAGGACGGCCGTACCGGGAGGGTTGAGCCCGACGGTGTCGTTCTTACACATGTCCGCAGTACCCAGGTCGGTTTGTACCGAGAGTTCTTGGAAGGAGGGGCCGGTACCGTACCCGAGCGACACGCCGGTGTTGTCGGTAGGGTCTCCCGCGGTCTGGCTGTTGTACCCGCCGGGGTGATACTGCTGGTAGTCGGTGGTGTCGGGAGAGGCGAGCAGGTCGCGCGGGTCTTGTGCACAGGCTGTGCGTGTCTGGCATCTCATGTCGTCGCCCTGGCAGCTACCGAGGCTCGCCTGGTCTCTCGTCGGGAGCTGAGCGCTACCCTGCCCGCCTAGGGCGTGTGGTAGACCCGGGGATCTCTCCTTGGCGAAGTCGGTCGTGATGTCGTCGGTGACGATGGTGAGAGGGTTGCCGCACGGGTTGAGGTCGTCGGACTGGGCAGGCGGGTTGTACTGGGACGGTCCTCTGGGCACCTCGCTCTCCTCCCCGACGACGCTGCAGTCCCGGCTCGGGGGCCTGTTCCGCTCGGCTTCCCCTCCGTTACACGGCCGCTTGTTGCTGACTCCTATAGGATGGGCACAGATACAACAGATGTGTCATCAGACATGCAAGCGCCAGGAACATAATAGGCACGGGAAGGGGAGGTCCCCACGACTAAACACACGTCAGCAACAAGATTTACACCAAGTAGTTGAGTCTGTATGGGAGGTCCCGTTTTATTTCTAACCTCCTTTATCGTCTGCAGAATAAAACAGACTACAGCACAGTGTCTGGGTCACAATCACTTCCACTCCAGAAGAACTGGCTAACGAGGTTTGGTGGGTGTAAACGTCTCAATCAAGGTCGATCTAGTCCGTATTGTGGGGAGCGTGCGCCCGGCGTCATGTTCTAACTGCCCCTTCTCACCCCTGACAAACAACCATATCATTGTACGGGCGCACACGAGCCACTCTTCAAGTACTAAACGTTCGGGGAATGCCTTTTTTTCAATCGGGGAAACGCCACACAGGGAGTCCTTTCAGTACGAATCTCACTGATTTTGATAAATAGCGGAATCGGAGGGTTCCGTGGCGAATCGATGTGGGGATAGCCTAGCGAGCGGAGGGTTGTACCTGAGTCACTGCGGTCTCCCGCTGCTTCCGCGCTCCGCTTGGTACCCAGGATGGCTCGCTCCCTGCCAGAAGAAGAAGAAAGAATACACCACGCTTAAATTCAATTAAAGGCACCAGAGAGACAGACGCACGCACACAATAGAGACAATTTAAAGACCGCTGCAACGACAGAGAGCGTTTCTATCATTTCTAAAAGAGTTAATCAAGTGAAGAGGGTATCGTTTAGAGACAGTGGGACAATAGAGTGAGGAGAAAAACCCTTTCTTATGAAATCGATTTAACTTAAAACCCCGCTACGGCCATATGTGACTCTAGATACTCCTTAGATCATGTAACATGATATTCATTATCATCAAAAGGCAATTATCACAAGAATAATACTTTTTTCTAACCACTACAACATTTCAGCTCTAGAACACAGAGCTACATGTATATTCAGTACATTTCGCCTATGTCATGAATTCAGCGACTTCAAAATGACATTTCTGTACAATCAAAGAACAGTTGGTGCAATGTCAATCTATGAGAACAGTAAGGGAAATGACGGTAGCTCAAATTTGTGCTAGTTCTTTCCTTTATGGCGTATTACGTTACGTTCGAAATGACCAACTCAATTCGAAGTTACAAGGGACGGGTGCCATAAATGGCTCTTCAGCTTTCAATCTTAGCGCGTATTCACCTTGATTTTACCGGGTAATTTTAGACAGGGCGCGGTTGGCTAATAGTGTTTTCCGGCACAGGTAAAGCTAATGTTGTACTCTTTATGGCCGGAAGTAGGGGCTATCCCATATGTAGGATGTACAGTAGGGATTTCTACTAGTTGGGGTACAAATTATCAAGCGCAATATGGACTAGAAGTTGGATTACGGTCGACGACACATTTGGCATACAAAAGTTTTGGCGTAGAAAGCGAATCTAAACAAGGCTAGCGTAGAACCGGCAAAATCTGAACACACTTTTTTTGCGTCCGAAAGACGACTTCTGCTTGTCTTACGACAAACTCCAAACTGCCCCAAGAACGTTAACGGACAACAATCTACGACATAGCCACGACTATGACGATCATCTAAAGTACTGTCGTAAAACTGCCGTACATGAATGTGGCCGGGTCCTAAAGTAAATACACTAGACAGCAAAGTTCTGTTATGACACTTTCGAGGTGGAAATACAACGTTGGGGGAGGGCAGTTCTGGAAAAGCGTCATTCGCATTCTGGGACTAATGAAAGTAGAAGTTGAACAACTTTGAGATGAACTCACCTTCGGTTTCCTCCATTGTCACGGAATCCCTTGGCGAATGGATTGTTGTCGATCTTCAGTTGTGTGATCTACAAGTTAACAAAAATAATTTCAATAGTTAGCGGGTTAGCGAAAGTTAACAAAAGACGGGTGACAAAAATGTTTTGATGCATTAGAATAACCTTTTGTTTTCATTGTGTGTTTCATTTTTTCAAATGTAATTTTTTCTTGAAATTGTATTTTTTTGTGTATGCTGAGACTACGCCTTCTGTCAATCTGTCGGAAACTAAAAAACACAAATGGTCATTTTTCAAATCCCTCAGTCTATCAACGCAGCGTCGAAAATTGACAAGATAATACGACGGGCTCCCCTTTTGAAAGACTAAGTACTTTATGGCCCTGCATGGTACATTACCCCCAGCACTTTAAAAACTGACAGAAAGGGTGCATCTGTTCAGTTGGAGAAACCCCCGCCAGCAGTCTTCTATTTCAACAAAAAGAAATCTCCTTTTTTACAGCCCAGATTTGCCCCTGAGCAAAAACCACGGCAGAGAGTCTAGTACCCGAACAATCGACTTGTGTGGCGCTGAATATAATTTCTTTTTTGACCAGAAAAAAATCCGAACAAAGGATGGAGACGATTTCTACGGTTAGGTGTTTGAAACGTGTCAAATGCACCAGCTTAGAGTTGGGATTGTGGACTTGCTACACGTGTGTTGATGTTATTCGCTGTTTTGTGATGTTTTTGCTGTACTAGTATTTTGTGGAGAATATTCAGAAAAGTATTAGGTTTAGGTCAACACTTCAGCTCTTTAGATGGTAGAATTTTTGTTACGAGGACGATATTCTGCTATTCATCATCTTTTCTTCTATACGACCACAAGACACCCACAAAATATCAATATGTATGATGTTAACAATCTAAAGAAGTAATTTGGAAGGTTTTGAGAAGATTTTCTTGCTCAACAATAACCTAATTGGTGCGGCATGTACAACACAGAATGCCAAATACAAGATAAAATCGTCGGAAAGAAACGCACCTAAATAACATAGATCTGTAAACAATTCAATAACTTCTCTGCAACATTAGACCAAAGTCTCCCCTGAAATTTGTGTTTACAATAAGCTGCAATCGAATGTGTATGGACAGTAAAAAAAAACACATCAAATCTATATCTGTACAGTAAAATTTGAGCGTCCCATAGTCTAGATATGCTTAGCTTTCAAAAATGTATCCACATGGGTTTGATTCCCAGCATTAAAAACGGCACCATCAAAAAGTCAACTACATTAAAAACAGTAGAAGGAAGAAGAAGTTTCTCTGAGCTCACCTTCTCGTTCTGATAGGCCGTGACACAAATCTATATCTATCCCATGATCAAGTTATCCCTGGCTTACAAAAATGTTATGTATCTACACGGGTTCGATTCCCAGCATGAAAAACGGTGCTATAGTTCTGAAGAAGAGATGTTTTCTGAGCTCACCTTCTCGTTCTGATAAGCCGTGACGGCGATGAAGCTGGTCTCGGGGAAGGCGAAGGTACTGAAGGAGTTCCAGCGGAGACTGTACACGTCGTTCGCCTGGACGATGTGCAGACGGGGCTGGTACTTATGCATCGAGTTCAGGATGATCTAAAAGTTGGAGAAATAAAGAGGGGAGTAAGAAAAAGATGTCTTTGTGGGGTCGTGTGGTGTAGCGGCAGCGTGCTCGACTCGGAATCAAGAGGTCCCGAATTCGAGTCCTGACATGCCATCGATCTTGTGACATTGGGAACGGCAATCTACACGACTTTCCTCACTTAAGTTAAAAATGAATATTGTCCTGTATTTTTGTTCTCTGCGTTGGTGGCGGCATGAAATAAAGTTGATATTGGTGGTGGCATGAAATAAATTTGATAGAACTTGAGTGTGCTGTCACCATGTCTAGTCATGAAATGTTGGAATAAATTAAAAAAAGGTGTCTTTGACTTGCTATTCTTATCAATAAAAAATATTTGTATTCATTCTGACCCCCTTTTCGTAATCTCAAAACAAGTCTCCATGCGAGAAAGAATCAACTTGGCCATTTGTACAAAAAAGATACTCTCCAAGTAGAGGTTAGGGTTCGGGGTTATTTTTGGCGTGTTTTTTTTTTAACTGTTTTAATTGGGTTTCTTCTTTGCACTGGGGTTTTTCTTTCTCCCTTTTTTCTTTGGGTTGGGTGAAAGAAAAATTCTACTGCAAAAAAAGAAACCCCGATAAAAATAGTCTAAAAACACGCCAAAAATAACCGAAAGCCCTAACCTCTGCTTGGAGAGCACAAAAAGAGACCAGTATAAGAATGAAAGCCCCATAAAAACGTCTAGAAAAATAAGCCGAAGCCTAAAATCTACTTGGATAATTTCCTACCCCTTTCCACTAATTGCAAATTTGGATGGAGCTGGCGTTTTTTGTGACAACTGATTTTATAAATACGTTTACAGTTTAATATAACAAATGAAAGTTGTCACAAATGAAAAGTTTACAAATTCATTCTTTTTTGTTAGATAATGTAAACTCTGCAACAATGGTAGCGTAAACAGTCGTGAGAATGTTTTTATTGACCCTGATAGTTTTATAACGCAGGGGAGTACACTAGTGAGGGGGAGAGTTTGGGTTCCCTTGCGGGAGACAAGGCAAGAATTCCGGGCGACTAGTCCCCCCTACACTCGCGAACTTTCCCACAATTGATACAGAATTTGTTTCTCACAGAACCTGTCGAAAAGCTAGCCTCCTCAGCAAGCTTGTTGGCTTGACCTTTCCTTACTTACAATGTTTTTTTTCTTCTGATTGTACATTAGTTCTGGTTGTTCCGAACTTTCTAGTCTCTGCCAGGCTTCGAAAATGATTTCTCTCTCTGCAGACAAACTTCCCTGGCATATTATATTACTATTTGACCGATTTCTACTCTTTCCAGCCGCCTCCCGAAGCCTGGTGGACGCTACGAAATTTCTACTGTTGCCTAAGCCTGAACGACTGTTGGAAAAATGGTTCATTTAGCACTAATAAACAAAACAGCACATAAAAGACGAAGAAAGCCTCGCCAAGAAGCCTGTTACCGAGATTATTATGGCAAAAATATTCTTTGAAGCATAAGGCGGAAATGGATTTAAAAAGCCGGGGTATCACAGTGCGTCTCCCGTGCCAGCTCTAATGACTAGGTTTATGGGGTCTGTTCAGAGATTATCGCCGCAATAAATTCTAATGAAGTGAATTGTCCCATAGCGGCAATACGGAAAATCTGCCGGCCCATGTGTGCAGCACTGATCATGTTTCATATGATCATGGAGGTACCTCCATGATATGATAATATCAAGAGGGTACGGGCCATTGAAATTCCAAAAAATCTGCTACCAAATTTGTTTTGGTCAGAGCAAAATGACGGCTCTAGTTTAGCCTTTACCGGGCTAGGTGAGGCGGCCGGAAAGAGTAGAAAAAGGCAAAATAGAGAGATAAGCATGCCAAGGGAGTTTGGGAACAGGGAACAGTTCGTCGCACCATGGTCGCACCGTTCTCTCAATGGACAAACTCCCTGGCATGCTTATCTCTCTATTTGACCGATTTCTACTCTTTCCACGCCCGCCTCCCCAAGCCTGGTAGAGGCTAGCTCTAGTACATTTGTCCTGTGTTTTCAGATCAAAATAACGATGAATAAAACGGAATACAATGAGCGAAAGATGTGATATTAGAAACTGGAGTGATAATAACAGTTTCAGAATGTTTTGTCACCTTTTTTTCTTTCGTCCGTACAAAGATTTTCACCTGTTTTGGTATCAGGTGCAAAATCTCGCGAGACTGATAAAAAGATTGTCGCCAGTTTGGTGCGTAACGTACAAAAACTCGTTGCTCTTTTTTTTTTGCAACATACCAGTCCGTACAATTAAGATTTTGTTCAAATTATTGTGTTTATAAACAAACAAAGTGTTTTGCCAACCAGCAATGCTAGAAATTCACTTAGGCTCAACTGTGGAAGTGATACATTGTACAAGAAATAAATGGAATGTTGGTACTGGTAGTGCATCTGTCATCAATACATATGTACTAATCCATTTTCTCCAAAGAAGAAATGCCGAAATGATGAAATTATTTTACTGCCACGGCAAACTAACAAGCAAACAAAACAAAACAAACAAATAAACAAACAAACAAATGTGTTTACTTACATGCCCTTGCTGGTCCATGGCGTTGTTGGTAAGTTTGAGTTTGTGGAAGGTAACTGACTGTTTCATCCACTGCGTGCCTGTAGCGGGACTATCGGGGTGGATGTACAGTCTACCCGGCATCAGGGGCTCCGCTTTACCGCTTACCTACATAAACAAACAACGGTACCGATTAGATACAAAATACGGGCTTTAGTATAGCATTTATACAGCATGTGAACAAAGATTATTATTTTTAGTAACCAGCAAAGGAAAAATATTCAACGCTCGCCTAAAGAAGTTAACAATTCTACGATTTTAATAGCCTCTACCAGGCTTCGAAGAGAACATTTTGCCGCGGCAAAATGTTCTCTTCCAGCAGACCAACTCCCCTGGCCTGTTATCTCTCTATTTGGCCGATTTCTACTCTTTCCAGCCGCCTCCCGAAGCCTGGTAGAGGCTACTATTTTAAACGGTTTTTCAAGGTGTGTAGACAGACGCTAATTTCTAAAATCCAAGCAGATGTTGGGATGGCATATACTAGTAATAGCCTTGACCACTGTTGCACAATGTGTGAAATCGGGTCCTCATTTCAAATCTCCAAACAGAAATAGAGAGGATTATTATAACATTTGATGCGATGTGAGATTCATAAAACTTAAAACCAATGCATCCATGAGGCTATAATGACAGAAGCGACCGTAGGAAAGAACCTACTACGATCGTTTGCCGTCATAAGACATTTGTACGACTGTCCTAAGGATTTACTGTCGTAAAACGGTCGTAAGACGTTCGTAAAGAATCACACGGATGTAACTTACCACCCATTCGGAGTTGTGATACTTGTAGCGGTTGTCGTCCATGGGTACGATGTCCATGAGAAGAATGTACTTGGCGTTCGGGTCCAGTCCGGAGATGGACGCCTTGTAGGTCGGGAACATTCGTCTGTAGGTCGGGAAAGATGAAGAAAAATCGTTAGTAGACTGGCCTTCAACACGCGCTCTGAAAATCGTTAATTCTTTGTGGTTTGAAACGTTTTTTTCTTCGTTTGTTACCACACTTTTTTTTTGGGGGGGGGGGTGGAAAACCGGGAGAGAAGATCGAGAAATTGAACAAAAGTGCAACTGTTCTCCTTTTTTTAAAAAAGTTGACGGATAGATTTCGTCAATACTTTAAGTTATGCTTACATAGAGAGTTATAAGTAGATATCTACATTGTATTTGTCTTTTGTCTAAAATTAGTAAATTTTATCGTACTATGATGTGAAATGGTTTAAGTTTATGTTTAAAAGCATCTTGACATTTCAAACAATAGTTTCTTACACTATACAGAATTTTAAAAGGACAATTTTGGATTCGTACCCGATTCTGTATTACACGGACTGTCTACTAAGTACTTAGTACTAGTATTTAGACCACACCACGAGCGTATAAAAAGTAGAACGCGCTTCGTTCTTTTGTGCTGTAAGTTTCTCTGACAACGTGCATTCATACAACCTTTCAGTTCTTTCTTACCGCACTTCCTAACATAAACTTTACAAACAAAAAGAACCCTCGTCACATATAAACGGTTTATAGTTTAAAAGGCTCTTTGTTATTAGAAAATATAAACTTTGGTATAATATAAACAAGCGTGGGAAATATGGGAGTTGTAGTGGAAGTGCTGATTTTATGAGGCGGGGGAGTTAGGGGGAACGGTTGGGTTGAGTTGCAGGAGACAAGGCGAAATGTCCCCGGCGCTACTCCCTCCTACACTCGCGAACTTTCCCACAAGTAATACGGGAATCTTTCACACAAGAAGTGTCGTTGGTAGCAAATTTGCGACGCTCAAAACGTTTGTTGTTTTAGTTTTCTGAGAAACCAAGGTGTTGAATTTATTTTATATTACGTTGTTTTTTTTCTTACAACTTACATAAAAAATAGAAATGTTGACACAGATATCCAACTGTTTTAGCGAAATGTTGTTTTAAGAAAACTTAAATAAATTCCTCTCTAGCAAGAATTCTGGGCAAAATCTAAAGAAACGTATTTTTTGCAGTGAAGATCATTTTTCAAACAGGTTTTTGACGTATGATTGTTGGGAAGTCGTCTAATTTTAGTGGGGTGGAATTTATTATACTCGGAACGCGAACTCAAATTCAGAATGCTTTATCTCTTTGTCACATCGCCGCCTTTGTCTGTCCGATGACTACGACAAACACACAACAAACAGCCGACAAACAGCCGACAAAGCCGTCAAAGATAAGACAATTCTTCTCTGCAGTAGTTCCCACTTGAAACCCTGTATTTACCACACGCGTTATCTCTCAAAAAATCTCAATAACACCGACCCTAGACAGACTTGGCTGATCTCAAAATTTGTTTTCAAGACTTATAAGTCGGACTTAAGTACAAGTAAGAACTAGACAAGCGAACGACAACAAAATTATGAATTTGAATAGGAAAAAGAAAACATTGCAGCAAGATGGTTGATTTTGATCTGTTCTGTCGCGTGCGTGTGAGACATACAGGAGCCATAATAATTTTCGACCGACAGTGGAAAACAGAACAGAGTACTTCCACATACTGTCTTCTCCAAAATGTTTGTCACCCTTTGTTGAAACTTAAACTCATGTTATGAAGAAACAAATCGCATTTTTCTAGTACTAGGAACATGTCTAGTTCAGAATGATAGTTATTCTTTGCCTAATTATTCATTCAAAAGCCAGGCCGGCGGTTTTCAAAAGAATAAGCGTGCTGGTACGAAAAGGACGATTTTCTTTCTTTGTGGACGGAGGAGTCGTGCTAATCGAATTTGCGAGTGAGCGAGAATTGACCAACCAACGTGAAGCAAAAAGAAACCGACTTCGCTCTAGTTCTTTTACACAACCGCACAAAAAAATTTCAGGAAAAAAACGCACTCCCTTACAAAACTTTTTCAACTTAAGTATATATCTACAAGTAATGCTTTAAAGTAAACTGTTTAGACTATACAAACATGTTTTATATAGACTTTCAATTGTGGGTTGGCTTTGCGTTGACAAAAGAATGTGGACATAAACATACGCTAGGCTTCCTGTTGCTTTATATGCTATGGTTTCGCGAGTTTACATTTTAGAGCACACACAAACTTCTACAGAAAGTTTACATTAAGGAAAACAAGGTTGAAATTAGACGGTTAAACTAACCTCCCGGCTTTGGTGATGATCATTTCTGTGCCGATGTCGTGGAAGCTGTCCCAGAGGTCCTTCTGTTCGAGGGTGACTTTCATGTCCTTGAGAGCGGAGGGCGGGGGGAAGTTCTGCGGGGCGGGGAGGTGCCCCAGCCCGAGGCGCTGCGTCTTGTGGTCCGCTGTCATGTGGAAGTCCGTCGCGAAGCGGTCTGTGGGTAACAACGATACAGAAAAAGCACGTTAGATTTCACTACTGCAACTTTCACATGTAGTAGAGTGCTACATTTTGATATGCGGAAAGCAAAAGGTATTTCAACAAGTTGAAATATAGCGAAACGTGCTATAGGAGATACTACAGTAGCCTGGATGCCTGAATCATAGTACCACACTAGGCCTAAAGTTAGCCTAACTAAGGGGGCCTAAACTTGAGCTAAAGCGAGCCTAACTGAGAGGGGCTATGGTATAATTTCCTCGGGTACATGTTGGCCCTAGAGCCGAGGAACTGGCCTGTGTATGCCCTGAAAAACAGTCCGGGCACCCAGGCTAGCTAGAAGCCGGGCGGTCTTACCTGAGAAGGCGCACGGGTCCGGTGGCGGGGCGGGCGCGGCCTGAGTCATCGGGAAGCTCGGGAACGGGAACGCGGCATGCGGGGACCCGGTCAGCATGTTGTTGATCGAGAAAGCTCGCGCTCTCTGAGTCAACACGTCCTCGGATTCGTACATCATTTTCTATCGGAGCTGTTCGACTGACTGCTCTCTCGTCTGAGTACAACACTACTACTAACCTCCTCACAGCGCGGCCAGCCTCAATTAAACATCTATTATGCTAATAATTGCTTTGATCGCTAGCGGCCCTCCGTCTCTGTCAACAGACCAACACAATTGGGCAGCTCTTCCTGAGTCATCCTCCCAACAAGTCTCAGCCAATCAGAGCACGATTGTACGACTCTTCAACCAATCAGAGCGCGTTTACCTTCTCGCTTGTTGCAACAGTGGGGGAACGTGCTCGTGGTTTAGACATGACTAATACACTGCGTGATTCCGACTTGGCAGTTTTAGGGTTTTTTACAATCGATATTTTAGACGAAGACAAATGGATTATCAAAGGAAGGAGGCTTTCCTGAGAGGAACATGGCCTCAGGCGACGACAGGACTTCCGACAAGCGTTAATTTTCCGTTCTTGCCTTGTTCAAAGCATTGCCTACCTTGTACAACATCCACACACTCACAAAACACACCTACAATGTCTAACTAAGAGCTATATCTTCTAGTAAATATATTTGCTGCACAAGTTGTATCTTCAGGCGGTATACACATATATCGTTTTAATTATAACTTCGTCCTGTGTGTCCAAAAGGAGCTATCAGACAACCAAACAACATGCCAACATTTTGAATTATGTCCGCAATTAAGAATAAATCAACCAAATCTCCTCGCTAATCACAAGTCTAGATAGTTTATTCTCACTCTGAAAAACCAGTGGATATACATAAACTAAAAGCAGGGAGAATTTGTAAACTGTTTAGTTGTGTAGAGTCTTTTTTATCGTGTACGCGTAGGGATAGGGTGAGTGAATAGTGTGTTAGGACGACTAACCCCCAACTGTGCTACTCCGCCCACCAGACTTTCTGGCGCCAGCTCACTACCCAAAAGAAACCCAAATCGTTTTATGGCAGTTCTACCTTTACGGAGCTTTTCTTTCATCCTGGGAGAGTTAGGACTCCTCAACTGTTCCCTTGTGACTGTTTTTGAAGCAATGATGTTAACTAAAGATGTGTCGGAGTTAACAAATTACTCGAGAAAGATTTTGTGTGGTAATTAATTGACATAACAATACGAGGTACCATTTGTGAGGAAAAAGACACAAAATATAGCTTCCTCTGTCCTTCTAAGCATTGTTATATGACACAAGACTAAACAAGATTGTGACTGTTTGGACTCAGAAATATAAAGTTAGTAAATAAACGTCCTAGCCTACATGGTTTCTTTTAAAGTCCTCTATTGTAACATGATCAAAATGCCAAAAGTTTTTTTGTCATATTTATTGTAATGAAAAGCTGGATAAGAATCTGAATCCAACTTGCCACATTGCCTAGTGATGTTCATAGTATCTACCGTATATGAATTTATTGAAAAGCTAGTATTTGTTTGTTCTGTATGTTTGTTTACAAATTGGCTTTATTTTGTATCCAGACAAGGAACTTCAGTACATAATATAGTGATCTGCTCGTGAAATCGATACAACGAACAAAACATGATTAAAAACTGTTGTAAATATTTAAAAAAAGAACTAGAGAATTTTTGCTCTAAAGACTACGAGAAACCTATAGCTTGTTCTGTTGACAAAAACACAACAAGTGCAACATGGCCCGACAACGAAGTACAAAGCGATATGTAAAAATGAAAATGTAAATTCCCACGTAGACACTGATTGCGAAGTCGCCAAAGTCATAAGACCATGTGCCAAAATCCTCCCGACTATGCAGCCAAATCGTCTGGGCTAGTGTGAACAAGGATGTGTTTGTCCTTTGTTGTTTCGGCTTGGGAGAAGAGTGTGAAATGTTGGAGTGTTCGTGAGAAAGTTGGAGGCTATTCTTACGAGTCTAGAGTCCCCCCAACTCCCACTGAATTCGCCCAGGTAGTTATCGACTCAGTGTTAGAACATATAAGCGGCTGGATGTAAGGTTTCTGTAGGCCTGGCATAGCTGGCTTCCGGGCTAGAAACAGCTGGCAAAAAAAAACAGTACATAGGAAAAAACTTACTCTCCAAGCAGAGGTTGTGGGGGAATGATCGTTACCTTTTTATATATGGCCGTTTTTTTTTTGTCCTGACCCCACCTTCCCTGGCTAATGGATACTGCCTGGCCAATTTGATACTGTTTTTTTTGCCACCGATAGGGATCTGCTTGGAGACTAGAAAAGACTAGTATATTATAAGAAAACACAATACGCCAATAAAAGAATGCAGCGAAACTATCATTCGAGGCTGTATTTTTAAAATCGTGTAACATGGACAAAGATCGGAGTGAATGAATGGATAAATGGATAAATGAGCGAATGGAAAGTTACAAAAGGATAAAAAGAGCTAGACGGTGATTGTGTGAGTAAATGAAGCAAAGAAGCTTCAATGAAGCTTACAAAACCTTTGTAGAGATGTCCCTATAACACTGTATATCTATGAATATGACACAGATATTAATAATGAGAAGTTTATTGCAAATAATGTTTTGTGTGGCTTCTGGACTGAGTGAGTGGCTTCCGTTCTCTGAGTGTTTGTTTATTTGTTTGTTTATTTGTTTGGACTTCATTCTATTAAAGTAGAAGCCACACCAACAAGAAACATTATACACAGGATAGCTTCCTAGTATCATGTTAGGTACATACCAGCTGGTATATACACGTATTCAACAAAGTTCAAAACAAAAGTTTTTTCTTTTCTTTTCAGGAAGTGCAATATTACAGCTCTATTGACACAAGGGGTTTAAATCTCATTTGTATTTCAACTTTCGAAAAAAATTCTATGGATTACTAGTATATTATGGACGTTGGACTCTAGTGTGTTTGGATGTTGCTTGTCCGTAGCTTCTACCATGGAGGTAGAAAAAAGGAAAGGAGGGAGGACGTATTTAGCACCCGCCGCGGCCTTTTGTTTTGCGGCGCTAGATCCCGCTGGTTTCTATTGTCCGCCGGCCCGGCGGTACTTCGTTTGATGCCTATGTTCGCCGCGGTCTCTCCCGCCAGAATTCCATATATGGCTATGCAAATGAGCCGAAAATGACATCACTGCCAGCGACGGTAGCCGAGTCCACTCCGAGCAGGGACCGACATACCCGAGTTTCCGAGCATTTCCTTATTTGGGTTGCGTCGTATTGTTGCGCAGAAGTCAGCATCGGGAGCGGAGGGAAATGGCGGATACGCAGATATGTTTATGTTTGTTGTGCGACGAAAAATGGGCGAGTTACTGCGTTTTTTGTGTTTTGTAAAGCTCGAATCGAACATTTTAGAACTGGAACATTTCAACAAATACAATCGTCTAGTATGAATTTGTGTGATTTTTTCTAGATATGCCGATATTTATTCAGGATAGTTGACGATGTTTATGTTCCATTTTCCAAACTTTCGTAACTGGCAAAGTAGCGATTTTTCCGGCAAAGTGGACTATTTGTGGCCATATTCTACAAGCTGTGTGCCTCTCTGCTAGCGGAGGAGGTGTGTAGAAATGGATTTTGTGCTCGAAGGCCCACATAGAAACGAGACATTCTTGTAGTAACCGGGACACTCTTGCTTGTTGTTATTCTAGGAAATATTTGAAGTGACACAATTGCGCTCAATTCTTTGGTTGATTGTGGTTACCGGTAGGGTGCATGTTCCTCAAACAAGGATTCAAGCAAGGATTTGACCAAAGATACTTAACCTCCTGTTGTCTCAAGTATCGGGGTGTAAAGATACTAGAAAATAACAATGAAGTCTAGTTACTAGAAAATAGTTGCAGTGCCGTGCCGTCCGTCAAGTTTGTCGTCTTTGATACACGCTTCTTACCTCCCTGCATTCATCGAAGTAATCCTCAAATTTGATACAAACTTACCGTAGAATAAAAGTTGCTACACTTATAGTTGTCAATGCCGGGCATGCCGTCTTGTCACTGACATTAATAACAATGGAAAACTCTGGTGTGCCGCTCTGGGGGCTACGCAAATCAGGGCAATTGACAAGTTCGTGCCAATTACAGTTTTGACGCCCGCGGCCAACATCGGACAATAGGCAGAAAGTTTGAGCTCCCTCCTTTCCTTTTTTCTACCTCCATGCTTCTACAGAGCTTCAGAAGCGACTGGAAAGAGTAGAAATTGAATCGTTACGGAACAACTTCCTTAGCATATTATCTGTTATCAAAGTTTATATATTTGGCCGAATTCTACTCTATCTGCTATTGATTCTGATACTAGTACGTACTCCTGTGTAGGCTCCGGGCGGGTGGGAGGTGTGATACTAGTACTGCGTTTTGTAGAATTTCTAAACGCGATCTTTTGCCGGTCACCATACAACCAGCCGCCCAGAGAAGGTTTGTACGCGCCACGGCGGCTGGTTGTAGGATGGCCGGCAAAAGAACGCGTTAAAAATTCTACAAAACGCAGTATCAAAATTCCCACCCGACCGGAGGCCTGCACAGAAGGCTATCCCGATGCTAGCTTGTACGTGTATTTTCTTACTCTCCAAGCAGAGGTTTGAGTTTGGGGTTATTTTTGGCGTGTTTTTTAGGATTTTTTTTACCGGGGTTTCTCTTTGGACTTGATTTTTTTCACCCAACCCAATTCCAGTGCAAAAGAGAAACCCCGATAAAAAAAAGCCTAAAAACACACCAAAAATAATCACAAACCTCTGCTTGGAGAGTAGTATTTTCTTACAAGACGCAAACATACAAGACATTCTCTGAGACACCTGGCGAAGTGCAAGCCGACAGACAGACAAGTCTGAGAAGACTTGTCAAACGTCTTCAAGTCTGTGGGAACGCGTGGCTACCAGTCTTCAAAGTCTCCCCGCCGCCCGGTATCATGCATTCTTGCCCGCTTGTTGTTTGTCGATCCCTTTGTCTTGACACGATAAGTAATTGGGATTTTAGCGCTTAATCCAGACCGCCTTTGTTCTGACACAAGGGGTCCGTTGATTTTGACAATTGGAGCCTGGGCGAGCCGTCTTGTTGGTGTGACCGACTTGAATGAGAAGTGTGAAAGGCCAATTTGTACCGATCTGTGAGAATTCATGTCTGTCAGAGACCTCACTTCATTTTGCATCGTGTTTTTATTTATTAGCCTCTACCAGGCTTCGAGAGAGGCAA